CCCCCCCCTTTTTTTTTTTTTTAGATGGAGACTTGCTCTGCTGTCCAGCCTGGAATGCAGTTGCATGATCTCTGCTCACTGCAACCTCCACCTCCCAGGCTCAGGTGATTCTCCTGTCTCAGCCTCCTGAGTAGCTGGGATTACAGGCATCCACCACTACACCCAGCTAATTTTTTTTTTAGTAGAGATGGGTTTCACCATGTTGGCCAGGCTGGTTTCGAACTCCTGACCTCAAGTGATCTGCCTGCCTCAGCCTCCCAAAGTGGTGAGATTACAGGCATGAGCCACTGCACTCGGCCTGGGGTGATGTTTCTTAAGCTACTCTCACTCAGAGCCTGCCAAATTTGCTTATTGAGCTGAGGTCTAGTGAGGAAGTCCTCAGAATGGGGAAGTAGGATAATAGTTAAATATTGATGAAATCATTACTTCTACTCCCCAGCCTGAAGAAGCTTAATCTTTTGACTTTCTGCTCTGCTGAATTTTGAACCCCTACTGAGGAGACACCTATGGGATGGGAGGAGGGTTGTTTGGTCTACCTGTTATCCTCTTAAGGCATTCTGCTGGAATGTGGGTTTTGCAGACTCCTCCCTCCTCTGGAGCTGGAAACTGCACTCTCTGATGGCATCTCATGCTGTTAGTGGGACTGTCACTTAATTATTTTCCTGGTTACTTTGTGTGAACATCCAAGCCACCCTTATTGGGAAGCTACATGAGTCCAAAACTGAGACACTGGTGTTCTAGGATCCATCTTTCTTTTCTGCTCTTGGCCTGGAATTGGTCTTTTATAGTGTAGCACCTTGTCAAATTTACTTTCAGTTCTGCGTTTCCTTTGTACTTCGGTCTAAATGGGAAACAGATGGCAACATAATGTTTAAATGCAGTCTTTTTCCTTATCTCTTTTTTTTGTGTGTGTGTGGTAGTGGTGGTAAAAATACATATAAAATTTACCATTGTAACCATTTATAAATGTACAGTTCACTTTATCTGTTTTTAATACCTCTTTCCTAATTGTCCCTGATATTTTTCTCTTTTTAATTTTTTTCTAGTCTAAAAAACTTAAGAGGCTGGATGCAGTGGCTCACACCTGTAATCCCAGCGCTTTGGGAGGCCAAGGCGGGTGGATCTGAGGTCCACCTGTGGATCTGATGAAACCCCATCTCTACTAAAAATACAAAAAATTAGCCGGGCATGGTGGCACATGCCTGTAATCCAGCTACTTGGGAGGCTGAGGCACAATAATAGCTTCAACCCTGGAGGTGGAGGTGGCAGTGAGCCGGGATCGGATCACTGTACTCCAGCCTGGGCGAGTATCGGCATTGGGGGAGTGAGGGGTCAACTGCAGGCGTGTAAGGTCGGCAGACTACCTCTGCCTCAAAAAGAGAAAAAATAATTAATAATAAAAACCTTAAGAGTACTACCGAGGAAGTGGGCTTTGAACAGCAGTTTTGATTCTGGCCTTAATCCTAAATTCCTAGTCTCTAGAGAGGTTAGAATGTTTGACTGTTGTGTGGTTCCCTTCTATTTGTGGGTCTGGTGGACTAAGCAACAGGCTTTATCACGTTTCTTTGGTTGCTTTGCTTTCCTTTTTTTCCCGGGTACTAGAACACACACTCACAGGGGAGAGGCAGATAGCCTTTTACCCCTGCTTAGGCTCCGCCTTTGTTTACTGTGGGGCAGATAGCTCTACTCCCAGCTTGCCTCCCCTTTGGTGAAGTTTAAATTCCCCAAGGACACGGTATCTCCCTGGTTAATGCATTTGTGAGCACAGGGAACTCAAGTAGTCCTTTACTCACAGGGCTGAAGCCTAACTTTCTAATACTCTTTCATTTGAATTTTCATCTGTGGCTTTTATCTAATAAGAGAAACCCCAGTGTGGCAGAAAGCCAGATTTAGGCTAATCCCCTTCTGTCCTTGGCCCTGTTCTGCCTGAGAGTACCATCCCACTGTCAGTTTCTTTACTGAAGGGGTTGACATATTTGGGAAATCTCTTTGGAGTGGAGGATAGCTGAAGCTGTTGTTAGCCGTCTTATAATGTGACTGAATTACTGCTGCATGCCACTCCTCCCCCAATCCCCCACCCAGGATCTTTGCTTCCTGGGCAGTGGAGAATCCTATTATTACCTGAAGGGAAGGACCACAGAATACTGTATATCCTCCAAGCTGGGCAGAGATAGGTCAGCTGAAACATCAAAACCACATCTGGAGGGGCATGCTAAAACCTAAGATGATTAGGAAAGTGCAGAGCTTAATGTTTCCCAGGGCCACAGGTAGCCTGGTCAACAAAAAGTAGGCCTGTTCAATCTCTTGGTACCCCTTGGTATTATATGACCTGACAGGGACAGGCACTGTGCATAGACTCATGAGGGAAAAGTCAGCTTGTCTTCCTTGTTCCTTTAAACAAAGTATCAAATCTTGATTCTGCAGGCTTTTGTTTCATTGTAAAGAGAACTGATCCTCTGTGCTAGCAGAAAAGAGAAAGGCAAGGTCCCATTCCCTCCCACCCCACCCCCGAGGGGTTCTCTGAAACTTTGCTAGGCCTCCCATCTCGGGTTCTGCTTTTGATACAGGCTTGTTCATGTGTGCATGCTCTTAGGAGGGCACCAAGATGTGTTTCCACCCCCTCCCTTTTCAGCCTTGCTAAGAATTCTATTGTAAATGCTGATTTGTGGGAGAAACTGCCTGAGCCAGCTTGCTGTCATGGCAACTATACACCCCCGCCCCAGAGCCTGTTATCTTCTACTCCAGTTTGGGTAACTACTGGTGAGCTGGATGATGCCTTACATTTCATGAGCTTCCTCTAAATCTAGTTGTATTTTTCGTCTGAGGTGGGTAAGTCATTTTACTAGCAGTGTCTCATAGTTCTTGCCTGATAGCCTTCACTTGTGGCCTTGTTGGGTTTGTGAGGATAAATGTGTGTTGTTACAGAGGACATCTGTTTTTCTGGAAGAGGCAGAAGCAGAGAATACTTGTCTTTGTGGTGTTTTGAATAGTGTAGTTAGAAGCACAAATGGTTTGTTAGTAATTTCAGCTTATGTTGACTTCTCGATTTTCTTTGCCTGGTGGCTAGATTAGCCCCAGCCCTCTGCTTCCCTTCCTAGTCTCTTCAACCACTCATGTTTGTATGTGGAAGTTTTTGTGCCAATCCTGATTGTTAAAAAGGAGTCTTTTGGTCTATATTCTTCCTCATCAGAGCTAGTGGCCCAGGCTATATCTATAGCTGCCCCAACTCCTGCCTGCCAGGAAGAAATCAGGGTAATAGAATTCAGGCACAATCTGGGCTATAGAAGAGAGATCGTGTTTACCAGGCACTTGGATAAGCATCTGAACTGGGTGGTGTAAGGGGCATATTAAATTCTCGTATATTGTTGCAGTCAGGGTACCTCCCACCAGTAAAGGTAGTGGGGAAGCAGTCATGGAAAGAGATTTTCCTACCATTAGAATTTATCCATCCACCTACAGGCTGCCTCCTTCTTTCCTTGTTTCTTATTCCATTGCTAGGGAAACCCATCCAGGATGGGTTTACTTGGACTCTAGCCTATACTTCATTGTGAGATGGAGGCCAGGGGGAAGATTGCCATAAGCTGTATTAGAGGGTGAAGCTAAGGGGATGGCTGGAGGAATAGAAAGGAGACAATTCAGAAATTTGGAGGAATGGTAGTGGGTGTGGTGGAAATGTTCTTTCTTTTTTGTTATGCTATCAAAACAGATAATTTTAGCCAGAAGCAGCTCCTTGTAGCCAACTTAAAAAAGAAGTAGGGGGGCACAAGTTTAAGGGATGGTGAGTAGTCATCCCAACAATGTTCCATTCTTTTGCTTTCCAGTCTGGAAGGCTATTCTGGAAGACGTTCCCTTGGCTAGTTATTTTTCTGATATATTAGGGTAAAGTGATCATAGGAATAACAGTTTGAGTTAAGCAGCAATTAATAGGTAATCCAGGATTCCCTCTTTTTTTTTTTTTTTTGAAATAGAGTGTCACTCTGTTGCCCAGGCTGGAGTATAATGGCACGATCTCAGCTCACTACAATCTCCACCTCCCGGGTTCAAGCGATTCTCCTGCCCTAGCCTCCTGGGACTACAGGTGCCCGCCACCAAGCCTGGCTAATTTTTGTATTTTTTTTTTAATTAGAAATGGGGTTTCACCGTATTGGCCAGGCTGGTCTTGAACTCCAGACCTCGTGATCCACCCGCCCCAGCTGCCCAAAGTGCTGGGATTACAGGTGTGAGCCACTACACCCAGCCAGGATACCCTCTTTAAGAAACCTTGCAGGCCGGGCGCGGTGGCTCACGCCTGTAATCCCAGCACTTTGGGAGGCCGAGGCGGGCGGATCACGAGGTCAGGAGATCGAGACCATCCTGGCTAACACGGTGAAACCCCGTCTCTACTAAAAATGCAAAAAATTAGCCGGGCGAGGCGGCGGGCGCCTGTAGTCCCAGCTACTCGGGAGGCTGAGGCAGGAGAATGGCGTGAACCCGGGAGGCGGAGCTTGCAGTGAGCCGAGATCTCGCCATTGCACTCCAGCCTGGGCGACTAAGTGAGACTCTGTCTCAAAAAAAAAAAAAGAAACCTTGCTTATTTATTTATTTATTTATGTATTTATTCTACTTTATGAGACACTTAGACGGTTACTAAGGATGAGATATGCCTCTGAGCCAGAACTCAGGCAGAAGGAACACTTCATTGACTTTCTTTTCTGACTGCAGTGTGTTTAGGAATTTGAACTGAGTCCAGGAAGTGGGTGGTACTAACTCACTGGGCTGGGCAAGGAACTGAGTTTTAAACCACTCTTCCTGTGGAACATATGGGAGTTCGTTGATGGGAAAGGGAGGAAATATATATATATAAAGTTATGTCTGCTAGATCTTTTAACAGCTGAGCTAAGACAAGTTCTACCCTGCGAGACTCTGGCTTTTTCATGGTAGTCAACCCCGATCTTAATGTCGTAGTTACTTCTTTTCACCATGCCTCTGCTTCCCTTGTCCATTCTTTCCTTCAAATGCAGGCTGAGGCTGAGGTGGCCTCCTTGAACCGTAGGATCCAGCTGGTTGAAGAGGAGCTGGACCGTGCTCAGGAGCGGCTGGCCACTGCCCTGCAAAAACTGGAAGAAGCAGAAAAAGCTGCTGATGAGAGTGAGAGGTGTGTAGTGAAGCCTGATGGAGTGTGGATTTTAAAAGACATTCATAATAGTTCCGATCAAGATTTCCTTATAGACTGTTTTTCAAATAGCAGTTCTGGCTGCGTGTGGTGGCTCACGCCTGTAATCCTTGCACTTTGGGAGGCTGAGGCAGGAGGGTGGCTCGAGCCCAGGAAATTGGGGCTGCAGTGAGCTGTGATTGCGCCACCGCACTCCTGGGTGACAGAGCAAGACCCTGTCTCAATCAATCAAGAAAAATAAAATACTAACTCTATCATACAGGATCTCCTTTCTTTCTTTTTTTTTTTTTTTTTGAGATAGAGTCTCGCTCTGTCGCCCAGGCTGGAATGCAGTGGCGCGATCTCGGCTCACTGCAAGCTCTGCCTCCAGGGTTCACGCCATTCTCCTGCCTCAGCCTCCCAAGTAGCTGGGACTACAGGCACCCGCCGCCACGCCCAGCTAATTTTTTGCATTTTTGGTAGAGACGGGGTTTCACGATGTTAGTCAGGATGGTCTCAATCTCCTGACCTCGTGATCCTCCCGCCTCGGCCTCCCAAAGTGCTGGGATTACAGGTGTGAGCCACCATGCCCGGCCCAGGATCTCCTTTCTATTCTGCATGTTCTGTTCCTTTGAAGACAGTAAGGGTAACTTAGATGTTGTGACCCTTTTGTAATTGGTATTTCCCTACAAATTGGCCCAATGATCCTTAAAATGGGATCACCAGTATGACTTCCACGTTCTGGATCATAAATTTCTATTTGTGAGATTAATTTCTCTAAAACAGAGGTTCTCTAAGTAAGGTCTCAGACCAGCAGCATCGACAATACTTGGGAACTTGGTAAAAATTCACATTCTCAGCTCCTATCCTGATCTACTGAATGAGAAACTTTGGATGTGGGGCCTGGCAATCTGTTTTTAGTAAGCCTTCTCAACCCTGGTTGCATTATTAGAATCTTAGGTGGGGTAGGGGGGAAATCACTGGGGAATTTAAAACTGTGGATGCTTAGATCTCATCCCAGTTCCATTAGAATCAATTGCAAGAGGGGTCTGGGCATTGATGTTTTTAAAGTTCCCCAGCTAATTTTAATGTGTTCCTAGGGTTGAGAACCATGGCCCTTGAACCAAATCATAACTCATCTTTTTGAAAATAGCCAGTTGTCTCCTTGCCACATGTGAGTTAAACTAGAACAGAGGTGCGTGACAACTCAGGGTTTTCAGAATAAATAGTGCCCTGCAAAGGGTACGTTACTACTGTGCAGCTGTGAAAATGAAAGACGCATCTATGTGTATACTATTAGAGTAGCGTGCAAATTATAGAAAGTGAGGGCTCGGGTACAGTGGCTCACACCTGTAATCCCACCGCTTTGGGAGGCTGAGGTGGACGATCACTTGAGGCCAGGAGTTCAGGACCACCCCGGCCAACACAGCAAAATCCAGTCTTTACTAAAAGTACAAAAATTAGCTGGGCATGGTGGGGGCGCGCCTGTAATCCCAGCTACTCAGGAGGCTGAGGCACAAGAAACACTAGAACCCAAGAGGCGGAGGTTGCAGTGAGCCTCCCTTTTTTTTTTTTTCCCTCAAAAAAAAAAAAAAGAAGTGAGGATAGCTGCATGCTAAATACCAGGAAAAAAAAAAAGAGTATGGAAAGTTGCAGAACCGTGTAGTATATGATTACTTTGGGGAAGCTGGGATGGGATTTTTTTTGTGTGTGTGTGTATATATATATATATATATATATTTTTTTTTTTTTTTTTTTTAAATAATATTTATTTAGGTTTTTGAGACAGAGTTTTACTCTGTCCCCCAAGCTGGAGTGCAGTGGCATAATCTCGGCTCACTGCAACCTCCACCTCCTGGGTTCAAGCACTTCTCATGCCTCAGCTTCCCCCAAGTAGCTGGGATTATAGGTGCCTGCCACCACACCTGACTAATTTTTGTATTTCTAGTAGAGACGGGGTTTTGCCATGTTGATCAGGCTGGTCTCAAACTCCTGACCTCAGGTGATCTGCCGGCTTCAGCCTCCCAAAGTGCTGGGATTACAGGCGTGAGCCACCGCGCCCAACTGCATATATCCCTATATTTTTTTAATATTTTAATATTTAATTTCTTACTAAGTTTTTTTCTGGGCATTGGGGGAGATGGAGTCTCACTCTGTTGCCCAGGCTGGAGTCCAGCAGTGTGATCTTGGCTCACTGCAACCTCTGCCTCCTGGGTTCAAATGATTCTCTTGCCTCAGGTGGGATTACAGGTGCTTGCCACCATGCCCGGCTACTTTTTGTATTTTTAGTAGGGACAGGGTTTCACCATGTTGGCCAGGCTCGTCTCAAACTCCTGACCTCAAGTGATCCACCTGCCTTGACCTGTCAAAGTACTGGGATTACAGGCATGAGCCACCGCGCCTGGCTAAGATGTATTATCTTTATAACAATAAGTGTTTTTTTTTTTTTTTTTTTTTTGAGTTTCACTCTTATTGCCCAGGCTGGAGTGCAATGGCTGGCTCTCAGCTCACCGCAACCTCCACCTCTCAGATTCAAGTGATTCTCCTGCCTGAGCCTCCCAAGTAGCTAGGATTACAGGCATGCACCACCATGTTGGTCAGGCTGGTCTTGAACTCCTGACCTCAGGTGATCTGCCCACCTTGGCCTCCCAAAGTACTGGGATTACAGGCGTGAGCCACCGCACCCAACCATAACAAAACATTTTAAATGAAATAATTAAACTAAGGTGTGGGAGTAGTAACATGGAATTTCCATTTGAAGGGCAGATAGAGAGGAATGGGCTTTTAAAAGTACAATTCTGAGACCCTTGGAGTGGAGCTGACGACACTCCTCAGGGTGTCAGTATTGCTTTTGTCCTGTTTCTGGCAGAGGTATGAAGGTTATTGAAAACCGGGCCTTAAAAGATGAAGAAAAGATGGAACTCCAGGAAATCCAACTCAAAGAAGCTAAGCACATTGCAGAAGAGGCAGATAGGAAGTATGAAGAGGTAAGTGACTTTCTGTTAGTCCCTCTCTCAGCCTTTTACAAAGAATAATGTGGTAAATGGCTCCTTTGCTTCACTAAGCTATACTGGGATCTTTTCCTGTAGGTGGCTCGTAAGTTGGTGATCATTGAAGGAGACTTGGAACGCACAGAGGAACGAGCTGAGCTGGCAGAGTCGTAAGTATCTAGCTCCCCAAATCTTGTCATACCAATTTGTCCCTTCCCCTTTGGCTTGGGCACTAATATGAATAAATTAGCATTCCTTCAACCTTGTTAAACAGGGCCTAGGAAATGGGAGTCATCTATAGTGCTTTTTTAGGCCCAAGAATGGTTGTAGACTTCCTTATTCTCCTGACTAGTGACAAGTGACAAAAGAGGCTTTCTTATTTTTTGTTGGTAGGTTTTACAAATTGAGAGCAAATAAGGACTAATACATGGTGAACAGTTAACTGGAAGATCCTACTGGGTCCTTCCACCTGGGGTGGAAGACATCAAAGTGGCTATCCTGATTTAAGATCTGGTGTCTGGCTGGGTGTGGTGGCTCACACCTGTAGTCCCAGCTACTTAGGATGCCAAGGCAGGAGGATTGCTTGAACCCAGGAGTTGGAGGCCAGCCTGGGCATCATAGGGAGACCCTGTCCCTAAAACAAACAAAATTAAAAAAAAAAAAATCTGGTGTCTGTTTTTGCCACTTTGCCAATCTGCTGGGGAACTTTAGGGCAAGGGTAGATACTAACTGCTCCCCTGTTGGTACCTTCTCGGCCTTGATTAACAAAGTCAGTGCTGATGCATATATATTTGTGCTTCCCTCTTACATTCCCGTCTGCCAGACATAACATATCATGACCATGGTGGTGTTCTCTTCCCATTTTTTGAATTTTTTTTTTTCGTTTTGCTGCTTGTTTTCTTGCTGTGTTCCTTTTTGACCGTTCTCCCTCCCCACAACCTGGCTTGTGCCATCCCCGTGACTATCACTAACAGCCGTTGCCGAGAGATGGATGAGCAGATTAGACTGATGGACCAGAACCTGAAGTGTCTGAGTGCTGCTGAAGAAAAGGTACTAACCATTAAACCCACAGCAAGGTTATATATATGGTGTGGTTTTGTTTTGTTTTGTTTTTGTTTTGCAGCTGCCTCCCCTCCACTTGATTTTGTTGAGTGCTGTCTCATCTCTTCATGGAATGCTCCATTCTTTTCCACTTACTTGGCATCTTTCATCTCTTCTTTCCTAGTTGCTTTACTGCCTCTCCGCAGGGTCTCCTTCCTTTGGGTGATTTGGGGGACTGTTTGGGTTGGGCATTTGTTCCCACCTCCACCCCAGGTAGCAGTTATGACTCATTCCTGGTAGTGGATTTCTCTCAAGTGCTTTATTAGTATTCAAACATTTTGAGCCCAGGAAGGTCTAGCTCCTGACACGTTCTATGGTAGAGGGAGGAGGGTTGATGCTTGCTCAGGTTACTTGGGAACATCTCTTCCCCAGTATGCCTTCCAACTCTCTCTACATATAGGTTCAATTCACGTCTGTGTGTCTCTCTCCCTTTTTTTATTCTCTTCCTTTTCCCTTTTCCTCTCCTGTGGTATTTAAAATATTCACAGTAAGTGTTCTGAGCTGGAGGAGGAGCTGAAGAATGTCACCAACAACCTCAAGTCTCTTGAGGCTCAGGCGGAGAAGGTAGGGGCTGGTTTGTGAAAGTGACAGGCTTTGGGGCCTGGGCCCAGCCCTGCCCTTGATGAAAGACTGGAGACACCCATTCCATATATAATTCAATGAGGCGTGTCCTTTTCCTACCTCCTTACCATGTATTCAGGTTCTGGGTTTAATGCTACTTTCTGTGCACTTTGATTGCTTTAATTAAAATAACTTCATGGTCTCAGGTTACTGGAGTCATGTGCTCCTCAGGCTGATACTGCTGTGCTGAAAAGCAATAATCAGGGGCCCTAACAGGCTTTCTGGCAGACAGATGGGGGCAACAGACAGAATCAGCTCTGAGACCTAATGAGCAATCAAGACAGATGACTTCACTTTGCCATCATGTGGGTGTGTTTTAGTCATGTGACCTTGGGGTGCCACTACTCTTGCTCATTAAGCCGGGGAAGGGAAAAACACCTCCTTGGGTTGATCTGAATAATATCAAAGCTTAGATCCATCTTAAAAAGTCATGGAGAATTTTAACCTGAGGATCTCATGGCTCTAAAGACAGATTTCTGGATTTCAAGGACCTGTTTTCCAGAGCCAGGCCTTGCTCTTACTCTTGGACCATTCAGCACATTTAGTCCAAGAGGATATTCAGTGTAAGAGTTAAGTGTAGGGAGGTGGGTATTGCTTGTGTGATTGATTTCTACTCTGAAATTTTTAATCTACTTATCTTACAGTACTCTCAAAAAGAAGACAAATATGAGGAAGAGATCAAGATTCTTACTGATAAACTCAAGGAGGTGAGCTGAGGGGATTATAGGGCAGGACCCAAAACATTTAGAGGTATATAAGACATTAATGTGGACTTAGACTGGCTGGTTTGGGTTCTGAAAGGTCCAGAAGTAGAAGGTGGAAGAAATAGAGATTGTTCTTCTTTGTCTTCATCTCTGATTCTGACTAATTTCATCTTTCCCCCAGGCAGAGACCCGTGCTGAGTTTGCTGAGAGATCGGTAGCCAAGCTGGAAAAGACAATTGATGACTTGGAAGGTATGGAACCTTGAGTAGGGATTGAAATAGAGAAATGTAGAGGAAGACCTTGCCCATTAACTATTAATCTCTTCTTCTGTATACCAAAGGAAGTTGGTATGACTTGGCATGTATTAATACGTGCACTGTCCTATGCCACAGCTAGGCAAAGTGGGTCAAACCCTAGAATTGGTTTTTCAAATGTAATCTTTTCCTTTAAGAAGACTTCACCAAATAGTCTGCAATTTGTACCCTTCCCTTTGAGGAGAATGATAATGGCTGCATTAATCTCCAATTTAGTAGTCTTAAACCTTTAGTCTGTGGGTTTAAACGGAAGCCATGATTTCAGAAGGGCAAGGTGCAGGTCATTTCATGGCTACTTTCCACAGTTCTTTTCACCACTCAAGTTGTGGGGTATTTATCCAAGAAATGAAGTTGTGGAGTAACCACATCTGAACACTGACCACTGTCAGGAGCTTTCTAAATACTTTCTGTCCCTGTAAGTTGGTAACTGCCATCCACGCTGACAAGGGGACGTACTCTTTGCTTTGAGAACTCTGATGTATGCTCCTTTGGTATGCTCTCTTGGCAGAGTTGCAGGGGCAACCTGTGAAGCAGAGGGGCCGCTAATAGGGCTCACATTTTATAGGTAGAGAAGTGTCTGAATATGGATGTATGCTATTTCCCTTTGTTATTTTTGTTCAATTAAGTGTTACCACTGCTAGGAATTGGGTACCTGAATGGGAGTGGTATCCTCTTGAGTGCTTTTGGTAATAGGAATTTCTAGTTATGACTGTGCCCAGGTTCTCAGCCCTTGCTGCAGTCGATTAGGAGTATCAAGAAAGGCAGTTGGTCATAGGAGAGAGTAGATCTGAAAATGTCCAGTCATGGTTGCCAGAGTAGATGTTTTCCTAACTGTGGTATTAGACCCACAGTCACACTTTCCTAATTTCTAATGATTCCCTCTCTTCATCTGCTTCTGAAACCTTTCACTCTGTCCCCTCATTCCTCCCTGTGGTTCCTGTGCCTGTCCAGATGAGCTCTATGCCCAGAAACTGAAGTACAAGGCCATTAGCGAGGAACTGGACCACGCCCTCAATGACATGACCTCTATGTAACTATCTGACAGCAGAGTGGGGCTGGGATCTTGGCTTGTGGGTGGATGGGGGTACAAGCTATGCATAGTGGTGTGCTTTGGTTTTATCCTTTGGAAACTATAATCTCCACCCTTATCTTTGAAACATTGGTGCTGGTTATTTGTTTGGCAAAAGCTCTGGAGGCATGGCCGGGGGTGGTGGCTCACGCCTGTAATCCCAGCACTTCGGGAGGCTCAGGCGGGTGGATCACTTAAGGTCAGGAGTTGGAGACCATCCTGGCCAATATGGTGAAACCCCGTCTCTACTAAAAATATAAAAATTAGCCAGGCGTGGTGCAGTGCGCCTGTAATCCCAGCTACTCAGGAGGCTGAGCCAGGAGAATTGCTTGAACCTGGGAGGCAGAGGTTGTAGTGAGCCAAGATCGTGCCACTGTACTCCAGCCTGGGCAACAGAATGAGACCCCATCTCAAAAAAAACAAAAACAAAAACAAAAAAAACATTAAAGGCCGGGCATAGTGGCTCACACCTGTAATCCCAACACTTTGGGAGGCCGAGGTGGGCGGATGACTTGAGGCCAGGAGTTCAAGACCAGCCTGACCAACATGGCGAAACCCTGTCTCTACTAAAAAATATTTAAAAAGTTAGCCGGCATGGTGGCGCACGTCTATAATCCCAGCTACTCGGGAGGCTAAGGCAGGAGACTCGCTTGAAACCAGGAGATGGAGATTGCAGTGAGCCGAGATGATGCCACTGCAGTCCAGTCTGGGTTAAAGAGTGAGACTGTCTAAGAAAAAAAAGCTCTGGAGGCAATTAATCTTGGATCAGAAGGAGAACCCTGACTGACTTGTAATTTTTATGTTTTGTATTCATAGTTTTTTCATTATGCTGTGATGTTTCTATTTGCTTCTCAAATTTAGTCTTCTCAGAAGGAATACTGCTAGAGGTAGAATCCATACAACTAAGGAAATAGGGCCCACAGAGCCAGGGACTTGGGCCCTGACACATTAAAATAAAATTCAGGCCTCCTGGGTGTGTTTAATTGGTTCCCCGATATTAAAGTTCAGGGAACTACCCAAGATGGGAAATACCAAATTCACCTAAGAATTGAGCTGGGTCCCAGAAGCAAGCCAAGTGATAAACAGCACCAAAACGAGTTGTTGGGACTTCATCTGTTTGCTGTGGATCCCTGATCCTTGATGCTAATCTGCCTCTTTGTATCTTTCCCACTAACCCTGAAAAGAAGCCACATTTCTCAGGCTGAAGTGTCTGGCTGTCTTTTATTATTCCTGCTGCCACCTATTCCTTTTTTTCCTCTTCCTTTCTCCCAATTTGCTATCTAGATTGATGCTAGTCCTTCTCACCTAGAGTATCCTTACTTTTTCATGCAGATAATTATCACCGTTTCTGCTCTGTTCTGGATCTGCCCCCTTTACTCCTCGGGGAACCCAACGCCCCACTCTCGCTCTGGATTCCATTTGGGTCAGCCTGGCTGGTCCCCAAGGCATTAGGATGGGGGGACACAAAGCAACTTATGTATTTTCTTCCACCCCCACCCCAGATTAAAATGTTAAGCTGCTGGAAACCTCATGCCACCCTGCATTTGTGTCATTGACAAAGCTGCTGCTGTCCCTAAGAAGGAGCCTTGGGGGTGTGATGTGGGGAAGAGCTATCGTAGGCTCCCCCTCCTCTGACTTACATAATCAAAGCCACTTTTGTGTGTGTCTATTTTTTCTTGACATTTAAACTCAGCTGATCTGATTCTACCAGAGTGATGGATTTAGTACAGGTTCCTCAGGATAGTAATTTTAGTTACACGCCTCAAGCTGAACAAGATTAAATTCCTTATTTCTAGGTTCTTAAATCATCCTGTCTGCAGTGTTTCCATTCTCTCTTCAGGTCTTCCTCCTTTGGTGTGGTGTCATTGAGAAGCCATTGAGGTGACTCTCAATACACATTCTGTACCCTTTTACTTGTGGTTCAAATGGTGCATCCTCAGAACACCCAGTGAACCCAATATATTATTGCTAAGATTGACTAATTATGTCAACCCCAGTCACAGAAGAATACACAAAGGATAGAATTCTCGACAGTTTTACTTTTTCTTCTTTAAACCTTTCTTACTTATTTGAGACTTGCTACCATTTGTCTGCTAGTGTGTGACTAGTGGGATATAAGACAAGTGATAAATTATTATTGGGAAAACTAAAATGGCCAATCATGCATATTTCAAATAATGTGCATATGAGGCCAATGATTTATTACATACATAAATTTCTGCTAGTAAAATTTCCCTTGGTTCATATTGTGGAATTAAATATCAACATTTTAGAAATTCCCATTACAGGCTGGGCGCTGTAGCTTGCGCCTGTAATCTCAGCACTTTGGGAGGCTGGGGCGGGTGGATCACCTGAGGTCATGAGTTCGAGACCAGCCTGGCCAACATGGTGAAACCCCATCTCTACTAAAAATACAAAAATTATCTGGGTTTGGTGGTGAGTGCCTGTAATTCCAGCTACTCCGGAGGCTGAGGTAGTAGAATCGCTTGCACCTGGGAGGGGAGGTTGCAGTGAGCCAAGATCGTGCCACTGCATTCCAGCCTGGGCGACAGAGTGAGACTCCATCTCAAAAAAAAGGAATTCCCATTCCAATTTACACAGCAGAGATTTCTTAATAGTATAGTGAATTGGCCGGGCGCGGTGGCTCAAGCCTGTAATCCCAGCACTTTGGGAGGCCGAGACGGGTGGATCACGAGGTCAGGAGATCGAGACCATCCTGGCTAATATGGTGAAACCCCGTCTCTACTAAAAATACAAAAAACTAGCCGGGTGAGGTGGTGGGCGCCTGTAGTCCCAGCTACTCGGGAGGCTGAGGCAGGAGAATGGCGTAAACCCGGGAGGCGGAGCTTGCAGTGAGCTGAGATCCGGCCACTGCACTCCAGCCTGGGTGACAAAGCGAGACTCCGTCTCAAAAAAAAAAAAAAAAAAAAATAGTATAGTGAATTATATTAATCCAGGCACCTAAGTGTTGTTCACTTAGTACTTTAGTTTCCCAGCAGGGTATGTATTTAAAATTTGCTTTTCTTTTAGCTGGGTGCAATGGCATGTGCCTGTAGTACCTGTAGCTACTTGGGAGACTGAGGCAGGAGGATTGCTTGAGCCCAGGAGTTCTGCACTGTAGTGTGCTATGCAGGTCAGGTGTCCTTACTACATTTGGCATCACTATGGTGACCTCCTGGGAGTGGAGAACAACAAGGTTGCCTAAGAAGGGGTGAACTGGCCCAGGTCAGAAATGGAGCAGGTCAAAATTCCTGTGCTGATCAGTAGTGGGACTGCACCTGTAAATAGCCACTGTAGTACTCCAGCCTGGGCAACACAGCGAGATTCCATCTGTTAAAATTACTTTTGCTCTTCATTTAAACAGATATAATCAGGCAGGGAAGTTTTCCTTAATCTAAAACTTTAAGTCTCATATCAAATTCAGGTTTCTTTTTGTGCATTCCATTTCTTACTGCTGCATAGCCTTTGAGATTAAGGTTCAGATTTCATTTATTCAGCTGACACTTCCTGGTATCTTCTAGGTATAGGATATTAAGATGGAGACAGAAATAAAGATGGAGGCACCATTCCTACTCTCAAGTTGCTTAGAATCTACTAGGAGAGAGAACATACATAAAGCTACAGATACTGTGTTATGAGTGCCACAAATAATAGTGTTATGGGAGTTGAGTAGAGGGGAAGAGATTGATCCTAGTGGGGATGAATTAGAAAAACTCATGGAAGAAGGCATGTAATAGGTATTTCATAAACATGTTAAAACTTTTTTTTGTTTGTTTGTTTTTTGGAGATGGAGTTTGAGTCTTGTCACCGAGGCTGGAGTTCAGTGGCATGATCTCAGCTCACTGCATGCCGGGGAGGCATGATCTTGCCTCCCCGGTTCAAGCAGTTCTCCCACCTCAGCCTCCCGAGTAGCTGGGATTATAAGCACCTGTCACCACACCCAGCTAATTTTTGTATTATTAGTAGAGGTGAGGTTTCACCATGTTGGCCAGGCTGGTCTCAAACTCCTGACCTCAAGTGATCCACCCACTTCAGCCTCCCAAAGTGCTGGAATTACAGGCGTGAGCCACTGCGCCCGACCAACATGTTAAACTTGCATATTCATTTTTATTGGGTTCCAAAAGTGGATTTTTGATAAGCAGAGTTGGGTCATGTGATAGTGAATATTGAGCATTCCATTTATTTATTTATTTATGTTTCTCTTTTTAAGATGGAGTCTCGCTCTGTCACCCAGGCTGGATGGAGTGCAGTGGTGAGATCTTGGCTCACTGCAACCTCCGCCTCCTGAGTTCAAGCGATTCTCCTGCCTCAGCTTCCCGAGTAGCTGTGATTACAGGTACCGGCCACCATGCCCAGCTGATTTTTGTATTTTTAGTAAGGATGGGGTTTCAGCATGTTGGCCAGGCTGGTTGCGAACTCCTGACCTCAAGTGATCTGCCCGCCTCAGCCTCCCAAAGTGTTGGGATTACAGGCATGAGCCACTGCACCTGGCCTGAGCATTCCATTTAAAGAGAAACAAAATAATAAAGGCATTGATAGAGATGAGAAGGCCACAATAGCTATAAAGTTAGATGTAGACAGAGTAGGGGACAGGGTTGTGTGTTAAAAATCAGGCTGAGGAGTTATTTTACTTGGGAGGTAATGGGGATGCCACTGGAGAGTTTGAACAGGAATATGCTGTGATCCGAATAGCATATAAGTAGAGTTAATTTGGTAACGAATTTGCAGATTAGCAAAGTGATTCACTAACATTGTGTTTCCCACATTTCAGCCATTAACGTTACCATTTTTGATGGCTTTTTCCATATCCACTGCTGCCTACATTGAGTAGATCAGATCTACTCATTTCCAAATTTATTTTATTCTTTTTTTTTTTGAGACGGAGTCTCGCTCTGTCTCCCAGGCTGGAGTGCAGTGGCGCGATCTCGGCTCACTGCAAGCTCCGCCTCCCGGGTTCATGG